ACTTGCAAAAGGGATGTGGTTATCTATGCTAGGCAAGACCTTAGAGCAAGCCAGGCGAGGGTACAGGGAGAGCATGTTTTTGAAGAGTCCCAGTGGTGTAAAATTAAATTAAAGGGAGGGACTTACTTATCGTCGGGTGTATCCACAGATCCCCAAACTGTGGCCCACTAAACCAAAGGAACTTAAAAGCTTTCATAGACAATGCGGGGATGCTCAACCCTAGCCACCTCCTTATCATGGGGGACTTTAACTATGGCGACATCGACTGGAGAAACGTGTTCACCCCAAATGACTTGAATAACCCTGCTACTCCTTTTGTATAAACTCTGAGAGATATTTTTCTGTTCCAACATGTTAGAGACCCGACACATTACACAGAGGAGCAAACACCCAAGCCACTAGACCTCATCATAACAAACGAGGAGGCCAAACTGTAACACCTTGCTCCAGTTGGCACCAGTCACCATATAGTGTTGTCATTCAGATTTAACTGTTACCTAGTTCAGGATAAGGCCAAGCCAAGGTGCAAATATTACAAGGGAAATTACAACGGGATGAGGGAAGAGATGAGGGGTATCCACTGGCCTGACTCATTAAGGCACAAGAACACATACACTACGCTGAATATCATAACTAGTAGAGTAACCCATTTGATCGATAAATATATAACCAAGATCAAACCCAGTGCCTCTGGGAATACGAGGGGATCCCTACACATGAACCACGCAGCGGTCGACAAAGTTAAGAAAACCCAGAAATTCAAGACGTGGGTTGGGTCAAATGATGAGCAGGACAGGAGGATGTATGCAAGAGCCAGAAACCAAGCAAAGATAGAGTGTAGAAGGGCTGAAAAAGAGTTCCAGAGGATGGTTGCATGCAAGCGAGGTCAAGTCAAACCCAAAGGCGTTTTACCGCTATATAAAGTCGAAATTAAAAACGCGAGTAGGAGTATCAGACCTGAGGCTTGAAGATGGTAGTTACGCAGATTCTGACCAGGATAAAGCTGGTTCATTGAACAGCTTCTTTTCCTCGGTGTTCACAAGAGAGGATGCGAATAACTTTCCTGCGTTTGAGGACAGACGGTTCGACACAGCACTGACCCACAATGTTTTCACAGAAGAGGGTATTAGAAATAAACTGTCAAAGCTAAAGGTCCATAAGAGTCCCGGCCCTAACATGGTGCATCCTAGAGTGCTAAGAGAGTTGAGCAACGAGCTTGCCGAGCCCCTGAAGATCCTGTTTTGTAAATGCCTGGATGAACGAAAGGTCCCCAGTGAATGGAAAGTGGCTTATGTGAGTCCCATCTTCAAGAAGGGCGATCGTCACTCCACAAACAACTATAGACCGGTGAGCTTGACCAGCATAATATGTAAAGTACTTGAGAGTATTATCAGAGATGCCGCGATGGAACATCTATTACGAAACAACCTTGTAAAGGATTGCCAACACGGCGTTATGCCGGGGCGCTCCTGTATAACACAATTGCTCAAGGTATTGGATATTTGGACCCATATTCTGGAATGGGGTGGTAATGTCGACAATATTTACGTAGATTTTGCCAAGGCTTTCGACACTGTACCCCACGAAAGGCTGAAAATCAAACTGGTAGGGTACTGAATTCAGGGAAATGCCCTAGCGTGGATAGAAGACTTTCTACGTGACCGGAAACAGTGTGTGGTAATTAATGGCACGAAATCATCATCCGTACCTGTCACAAGCGGGGTACCACAGGGCAGTGTATTGGGCCCGCTGTTGTTTGTTTGTTTCATAAATGACATGCCTGACGTTGTACACTCCTCCATACAAATGTTTGCCGATGACGCCAGGTTATTTCGGGAAATAAAGAACCAAGCGGACTGTGAAGAGCTGCAGAAGGACCTCTGTGGGCTTCAAGAATGGTCGAAGAAATGGCTGCTGAGATTCAATGTCACGAAGTGTAAGAGGATGCACCTGGGGCGTACCAACGGTAAGGAGGCGTACCATATGTCCCAACGGGATGAAGAAACTGTACTAGTTGAGACTGTGTGTGAGAAGGACCTAGGTGTGTATGTTGACAATGAGCTGAAGTTCTCGGGCCATTGTGAGAAGAAGGTAAATCAGGCAAATGAATTATTGGGTCTTATAAGAAGGTCGTTCAGATATCTAGACGGTCCGTCCCTCGTGACGATCTTCAGGAGTGAAGTGCTTCCCCATCTGGAGTACTGTCACCCCATCTGGTCCCCGAGATATGCTAGGGACTGTCAGTTGGTTGAAAATGTTCAAAGGAGGGCCACCAAACTGGTGCCTGCACTTCGGCACCTCAGCTACCCTGAGAGATTGGAGCGCCTGAACTTGCCTAGCTTATACTACAGACGGGCAAGGAGGGACCTAGTTGAGGTTTATAAGCATCTCAGGGGGCACTACTCAGTTGAGTGTCCTTACTTGGAGCTGGCGGACGCTCGCCCCACAAGGGGTCACAGCTCAAGATTGAAGAAGCCGCAAGTCCAGAAAACCGTGAGGGCAAACTTTTTCGGAGTGAGGGTTGTAAACTCTTGGAACAATCTACCAGAGAGTGTTGTGACGGCACCGAGTGTGAGCTCTTTCAAGAGAAGACTTGACCAACACTGGAGCGGGTTCAGGTACATTCAGGAGCCGGTGCATGCCCAGTATTTGCCAACAGTGCGTGACAGAGACGTGACCGATCGCCCGGGCGGCTAGCGAGCCGACATTTTGGTGAAGAATATAAAGGAAAAGAGACGTGACCGATCGCCCAAGCGGCTAACAAGCCGATCAGTGGCGAAGAGGATAAAAGTAAAAAGAAGTAAAAGTAAGAACATCCGTTAGGTCTTGGAGATTTTGAGTTTGACAGAATCTTTCAGCAGATTAATGACTTTCTAAAATAGACAACTGACGCTCACTAAGCTACACACATCAGATTCCCTGATGTTTGGGCAACAAAATAATATAACTTCAGTAGCAATCGGAAATTCATGGATATCCCCACGGACGACATAAAGATATGTCATTCAGACTGACAACTTGACACTCACTTACTTGACAAGTTTTACTAACAATAAGGACAGTTGAAGCTTTCAACACCACTCACAATGGATCTTGAATGTTCCAACTGTAAACAGACATATCTAAGTTGCCTCACCAATTGCAACTACAGTTGTAATTTCAAATTCTGTCATTACTAAGGAATAATGAAGTCTCGGGTGCATTCTATGATTGAGAGAAAACGGAGGACTCAGGCGTCCTGAAGCGATGAGAAAACGAACTCCTTAGATGGGGAACTCAAATAAAGAAGTATAGCTGCATGTTTCGTGGGCTATTGAGCGTAATATGGATCGTCTGATTTTACGTGAACTGACGTGTATGACCGTGGTCATTACATAAGAAGGTCGTTCAGATATCTTGATCGTTACGAGGGACGTAACGATCTTCAAGAGTGAAGTGCTTCCCCATCTGGAGTACTGTCACCCCGTCTGGTCCCCGAGATATGCTAGGGACTGTCAGTTGGTTGAAAATGTTCAAAGGAGGGCCACCAGACTGGTGCCTGCCCTTCTGCACCTCAGCTACCCTGAGAGATTGGAGCGCCTAAACTTGCCTAGCTTATACTACAGACGGGCAAGGGGTGACCTAATAGAGGTGTATAAGCATCTCAAGGGGCGCTACTCAGTCGAGTGTCCTTACTTGGAGCTGGCGGACGCTCGCCCCACAAGGGGTCACAGCTCAAGATTGAAGAAGCCGCAAGTCCAGAAAACCGTGAGGGCAAACTTTTTCGGAGTGAGGGTTGTAAACTCTTGGAACAATCTACCAGAAAGTGTTGTGACGGCACCGAGTGTGAGCTCTTTCAAGACAAGACTTGACCATCACTGGAGCGGGTTCAGATACATTCAGGAGCCGGTGCATGCCCAGTACTTGCCAACAGTGCGTGACAGAGACGTGACCGATCGCCCAAGCTGCTAACGAGCCGATCTTTTGGTGAAGAGGATAAAAGAAAAGGAAAAGTAATCAGAGATGTGACCAATCGCTTGAGCGGCAGACGAGCCGATCACTGGAGAAGAGGATAAAAGTTTTCTGTGAACACAATGTGGGTCAGTGCTATGTCGAACCGTCTGTCCTCAAACGCAGGAAGGTTAATTGCATCCTCTCTTGTGAACACCGAGGAAAAGAAGCTGTTCAATGCCTCAGCTTTATCCTGGTCAGAATCTGCGTAACTACCATCTTCAAGCCTCAGGTCTGATACTCCTACTCGCGTTTTTAATTTCGACTTTATATAGCGGTAAAACGCCTTTGGGTTTGACTTGACCTCTCTTGCAACCAGCCTCTAGAACTCCTTTTCAGCCCTTCTACACTCTAACTTTGCTTGGTTTCTGGCTCTCGCATACACCCTCCTGTCCTGCTCATCGTTTGACCCAACCCACGTCTTGAATTTCTGGGTTTTCTTAACTTTGTCGACCGCTGCGTGGTTCATGTGTAGGGATCCCCTCGTATTCCTAGAGGCACTGGGTTTGATCTTGGGTATATATTTATCGATCAAATGGGTCGCTTTACTTGTTATGATATTCAGCGTAGTGTCTGCGTTCTTGTGCCTTAATAAGTCAGGCCAGTTGATACCCCTCATCTCTTCCCTCATCCCGTTGTAATTTCCCTTGTAATATTTGCACCTTGGCCTGGCCTTATCCTGAACTAGGTAACAGTTAAATCTAAATGACAACACTATATGGTGACTGGTGCTAACTGGGGCAAGGTGTTCCAGTTTGGCCACCATACCATCTTCGTTTGTTATGGTGAGTTCTAGTGGCTTGGGTGTGTGCTCCCCTCGGCTTAGCGCTTCAGGGATTATAAATGTAGGTTAGCACAAAGTATTTATTGAAGAAATAAGTCATAACACCCTTTTACCCCACATATAAATATTTATATATTTTATTATTTGATATCTTATATACTTTTTATTAAAACTTAATATTTTAGGTTGGGATATCATATTATGAATTGTAAATATTTATCGTCATGTCAGCTCTGTGGTGGAAGTCACCTGATGGGCGGCCACAGCTCAAGGCTTCAGCCGTCTGACGCAGGAGGTTTGGAACTGTCAAGTTAGTTGGTCAGTGTTACAAGTACTTTTTGGCCCTCATCTAGCAGGTGGACTGCTATGGGTCATTTTTCGTTAACCACCCATCACCTTTTTTCACATGAAAAAAAAAATCGCTTGATTTCTTGCTGTTTTAGATGATCTGATATTTGTCTTTGGGGCAAATCACTTGGTAAATATTTACTGTCGGACATGAGTCCCTAGGGGTTGACCAATATGTTTTTCCAGTGTATTTTTGGTAAATTTTTACGAAACTGTAATCCTTAGAAGTTGTTTGTTGATTTTCTATATTTTTGCTGTACTTATGGTTTTGATTATTTTAAGTACTGTATTTAAAAAAAATGTAATTATATAGGACTAACCCGCGAGTGAAATTGATTGAAAACAATTATAAAAACTCCGGATTTTCATTGTTATATTATAGTGGACACTGTTGTAGTTTGTGGAAATATGTTAAAGAACAGACCTAACCAACCAAACCAAACAAACCTTACCTAACCTTACCTAACTTCCCCGGTATATTAAACAGAAAGAACTTAATATGATATGGTGAAATTTGAGGCATTTTCTGGATGTGAGATATACGGCCACATCGGCGCTATGCAGCCCTGGTTGGTTAGTCCTATATATTAACCAAAGAAACGACAACTTTCTAATATAATTTTAAGTATTTTTTTTTATTATTTACTATATCCTGCTTCACAATTCTCCTCCTGGCGCCATTTTTGTTGTTTACTTCACTGAATCCCTCTTCAAGAGACGTTTCCTAAATGATGGTAAACGCTTCCACGAATTCCTCCTGATGTATATCACCCTCAATATTAAGGTAAGTTGTTTAACACGTAAATTAACACGATAATGCATAGACCCTAATAAAACCTGACCTAACATACCCAACCTATGGGTATGTTAGGTCAGGTTCTGTTAGGTTCTATTCCATTTCTGTGTTTAATATCATGCTATTAGTGTGTTAAAAAAAAATCACACATTTCCTTCAGGTGATAACAGTTCCGTAAATCTTTACCGTATTTTGGTATGTCTTAAGCGAATCTGACCTTCATATTGGGCAGAAATTAATCGTTTTTGTCCCCACTCCGATCCCCCAACAATAATGGGGGAGAAAGCCTGGGAAATCGGGGTTTTGGGGTGGGGGAAAACACGTAAACGAGTCATCTAAACTCGCCTAACCTAGGTAATTGTGCAGATTACAGCAACCAATGAATTCCGGAAATTCACTAAACTCAATCGATAGAACTATTTTTTCTATTATCAATTTCTTATATACACTTCTGCGCAAAATTGAAATATTGAAGTTAGTGAATTTTAAAAAGAATAAAAGTTAAAGGTGTAGATAATGGCTACCACCAGAAGTTGTTTGTTGATATTCTTTATTTTTGCTGTACTTATTGTTTTGATGATTTTAAGAAACGACAAATTTCTATTATGATTTAAAGTATATTAAAAAAAAATAACATACTCTATCCGGCTTCACAATTCTCCTCCCGGCGCTATTTTGTTCCTATAAATGATGGTGAACGCTTCCACGAATTTCTCCTCGCCATTGCTGATGTATCAACCTATTAGAACCTAGTAGAACCTGACTGAACACATCCAACCTATGGGTATGATAGGTCAGTGTCATGGCTTTGGTATCGTAGTGGTGTAAGAGTGGATTATATTATATAGAGATTACAATATATTGTGTTTCTTATATTTCTTACCGTAGAGTTCGATACCTTCACTCTGGTTACTTACAGGAGATTATGGTGTATCTACGTAGAAATTCACTCCACCACCCGACATTCCATGATTTATACTTGATAAATGATGATTTAATGAATTCTTTTAATTTCCAACATCCATCAAAGTTATTGGCTATACTTTGCCATAACCAATCAGTCATTGCCTTTAGTAATACAGTGGTTCCTCGGTTAACGAGCACAATTCGTTCTAGAAGTTTGCTCGTAAACCGAAAAACTCGTTAACCGAAACCATTGTTTCAATGGGTTTTTGGGTAATTGGTTCCAGCTCACCGAAAATTGCCTAAGATCAACAAAAAAGGTAGTAAAGTACACTTACTTTGAGGTGTGTATGTTGGGAATTAGAATGGGAGTGGAGGAGAAGGGAGAAGAGAAGGCATTGGGGTGGAAGAGAAGGGAGAAGAGAAGGCATTGGGGTGGAAGAGAAGTCACCCCATGGCACCATTTCACCCATAAAATTTTAGTTCTCTTGGTGTAATTCAAGATTATTTTCTTTAAATCAACACTGCACTGCATTATATATTGTCAATATGTAAAATAAATTTCAAATTGACCAATAATTTGCTTGGAAACACAGAAAAAAGTGTTTAGTTGAAGAGAGTCTCAAGCAAGATGTTACCTCCACTGAAAAGACACAGACTTCAATTATGTTCAATAATTGTTAAAATGACTAAAAAAAATTTAATATAAAACTTTTAAAATTATGAATTGTATAAACTTCTTGACATTTACTAAAATAGTAAGGAATTTAAGCCCTAGAACCGATTACTGTATTGGCGGACTAATACTACAGCTGGTGGACCGCCAAATGCAAGCGAAAACATGTTGAGGTCGGCTCGTAAAAAACTCGTCATTTGAGGGATTGCTTGTTAACCGAAGTTAATAATCTTATGGAAGGTAACTCGTTAACTGAAATAGGATAGGATCACAGATACGGGCAGATAATTGCACTTACATTTATTTGTCAAGCTTCCATACAATGATTTACAATTTGCATGGATATATGAGTCACTCACGTTCACGCTGTAACAAATTAATCTTCTAAAAGAGGGAATTTTCAACTTGGAAACACATGTGGTTACTCTATTATGGGTATGACTTAACAGAGCCTTAATTCTTCAAATGAAACATTAACTGCCAGCCTGGATTGCTCTTGTTGCAACCAGGCTTCCGCACAAGAACTTCTTTCACGGGGAATAACAACAAAAAGGTACTCTTGGGTTACCACACATAGTCTCGTCTCACTGACAGTCACTGTAGATGGTTGTCGCAGCAAGGAGAACTGGTAAGCATGACTTGTTTAACCACATATGTGCAATAGACCAGCCTGGATTGCTTTTGTTGCAACCAGGCTTCCACACGTGATATTTCCACGAGGATAACAAACCTAGGTTAATACACTTAGTCTCGTGTTGATCACGGTCACTGTAGACGGGTGTCGTGCAGGAGAACTCTGTCAGTGTGAATTGATTAACCATTTACTGTAGGTTTGATAGGTCATCATGGATTGCTCTTGTCGCAACCAGGCATCCACACATGATATTTCCGCGGAATAACAACTTAGGTTAACACACTTAATCTCGTGTCGAAGACGGTCCACAGGACAGGGTGGCAGTGGACGACTCTGTGTGGTCTCCCGTTCCCTTCAGGAGGGAGAGGATGGGGTTGACGTCTTAACTAACCCATGGCCTAGGGGATACTATTTAAAATGAGGTTTTGGGGCGTGAGGCACTGAACAGTACAACACTGTCTCACTGGCCTCCACCTATCGGCTGGCTAACATACCACTGATGGAAAATATGTGTAGCAGTTATGGCTCACCGAGTGCCTTATCTCTAGTAAAACAAACTTAGAGTTGATTAAATATCTCACATATCCACTAATGAAATAGTGATGACAGAATCACGGCTCGCCTGGTCCCTTATCTACCGTAAACAAACATTTGGGATGGGTTGCGCGGGGTAGACCCAACGCAACCCATGACAGTCAGGTTCTATTAGGTTCTATGCATTGTTAAAATTTTTGTGTTTAATATCATGATATTAGTGTGTAGAAAAATTTTCAACTAATTCGGAAAATTCCTACTGGTGGTAGCAGTTATCTACACCTTTACCGAATAAAATCAGAGCACCTGACTCAGACTCTGACCCTGACTCGGAGTAAGGTAAAAAATACTGTAACGGTTATTTATATTATTGTGGAGGCTGACCACCAGGGGTCCAGGGGCAGAACCCCCAGTTAGGTGGTTAGGTCAGGTTTAGTTTGGTTGTATTGTATAATCACTCGGTTTTTTTGCTCTCCCCCACCCAAAATCCCGAATTCCCATGCTCTTCCCCATATTGCTATAGGGAGGGGGGTGGCTAAATCACAAACGAGTGATTTCCAACATAATAAAGGTCAGATTTGAACTATTCACACCAAAATCCATCAGAAAACCATTTTTTTTTTCATTTTCCATGGTTGCTGTAATATGCATATTTTTCCCTAACCTAACCTAACAACTTAACGTAACATAACCTAACGTAACCTTACCTAACCCCTAGCCGGGGGCAATGCTGTACTCCCAGTAGGCCTAGCTTAAATTAACCGAACCTATCCTTTTCTATTCATTTCCAACTAGTATAAATGGAGATCTAAATGTTTCCGTAGTTTAAAAGTTTGGGGATAGGTTCATGGTCATCGACCTCCTCGTCGAACCCTTCTTCGAGTGGCACAGGTGCAGCACGTTCCTGGTGAGGGTGGTATCTTGGTCCTTGAGGTGGGTAGAGTCGCGCAGATGTGGTATAGAACCGGTGGTGACGATCTGAAGGGTGTAGATCCAGAGAGAGGTATCGCATGAAATGCTGCTGGAAGTACTCGCTCTTCATCCAGGTCTCTTGGTCCATGGTCCACTCCTTGAAGTCACGCCACAAGTGTTCGATGGTCTGGGTGTGCACTCAAGGGTCGTTGGGGCCACAAATTGTTCAGAGTGGTTAATCACCCAATGAGTGAAACCTTCAGACTGCAGTGATGAGTAGGCCTTCCATCCATCACTAACAATGATGCTCCGAGGACGAATGTAGTGTTTGATAAGGGGAATGAGTGTCTTCGCCAATCTGTCCTGGTTTGCTTCATTTAGGGGCACAATAATTTTTTTCTTACTCTCCTTCTCAATGCCCCCAAAGAGCCACATTGTACTCAATTAACTACCTCGCTCATATTTTCGCTTGACAAAAATGTCTCGTCGGTTTTGACCACAACACCATCACCACCTATGCACTCCTGGTTGTCAAGCCATTCTGAAGTTACCTCGGAGCAGAAACTCCGCCAGTGCACACTCGTTTTGGACGACAATTGCAGGCACACAATAACCGTTTTGTGATCCCAGCACTTTTGAAGCCAGTGATTAACGAAAATCACAAGTTCCACAGAGGTAAGCGTGTATGATCAAGGAAAGTGCCGTAATAGTCTGAGGTAACTTATTGACAGATCTTCGTTTTCTTCCTCTTTCCGTACCTCCTTGATCAATTACAGAACCACTGGTGCTTGTCCTTTCTAAATTTACAAGGCAATTTACAGTGTGGGCACTCAACAGACGTAGGGAGAACATAAGATTACGTAGGAATTGGACAGCATGATCGACTTTCTTGTAAAACTCGACAATAAATTTAAAATAATCGTAGGAGCACGAATCATACCCAACCTCCATCACGGCCATTGTCACACTGGTAATTTAAATTCAAATCCGTACTTAGGCTGCTCCCTTTGAAAACATTCAAATGTGATTGGTCGAAAAAATTCACGTGATGAGATCGTCAGTCAACATTGCGCATGCGTGATGTAAACACACTCATAGTTAACTCGGTTTTACGCAGATAACATCTCTTCACAGAGACGAAAACTGAAAAGTACGTAAAATCAATAATTCAATTGTGTTGCTTTTTTCCATTTCCGAATGGTAAATATGGGGTTAAAAATGCTCAGATAGGGAGATCTAAATGTTTCAGTAATTATAACTTTGGGGCGCGCTACGTCCTAAAGGAAAATTAAACCAATCACTTTTTTTTTTGAATGCCCAACTAATTTCAAGTTTATTCTTTCATTTCTCGAAGAAATCTATTAAATGATAGAGAATTTTTTTTTAAAAAGGTGGTGGGCTGTTATTGAAAAATGACCCTGCTATGCATTTTGAAGCAGCGTCAGTATTGCTAACACTAATGCCAACCTCTTTAATTGTCATTATTATTACTGTACTGTAGTATTTTTTGTTTGTTTTATGTCTATAACTAAAATATGTTTCTTGTGTTTTTCATGATGATTCCTCGTTTATTCTACTGATAATCATTTTGTTTACCATTCCAGGTATTGGGGTAATGGATTCAGTAATGAATACTAATTCAGTTACATTAACAGGTACTGTGTCTTAAAATGATGTTAAAGTGAAGTTTCAACAACAAAAATGTCATCAAACTTAGTGGTCTTCCAAGCTAGTGATCTTCAGCAACTGAAGTTCCTTCATCAAGGCAACGCTAGACTGAAGGTAAGGTGAAGGACTCATAAATGGTCTCCAATGAAATAAATTTCAGATATTTATGTATAGTGTATGTTAAGTATCACAGTACAGAGTACTGTACTATACAGTACACCCTCTCATAAAAGGATTTCTCATTAAGGGATATTCCCAATACAGTTAGGCTACATTACAGCAAAATAGCCCAGTCTAATGTTTTTGTAATAGAGGTACAGTAATTATATAAATGAGTGATTATTGATGACTGACTTGGTGCCAAATATTCATAGAAATCAATTAGGTAATTATTTACTACTTCATAGCCGCTTTTTTCATAGAAAACGAATTTAGAAATGCCGCAGTTTCACTGTGTTCTATAGTGGACACTCGTAGTTATGACAAAAGTGTAAAAAAAATTTATTTAAAAGTTCAATCTAACCTAGCATAGCATATTAACCAATGATTATAAAAATGCTCCAATTTCACTGTGTTTTATAGTGGACACTGTTGCAGGTTTTGCAAATGTGTTAAAAAGTGGTTATTTCTAAATTAAACCCAACCTAACCTTGATAAGAAAAAGAAGCAGCAGAAGCAATGATAAAAGACCTCATCAACCTAACCAAACAAATCTACTTCACCTTACCTAACTTCCCAGCTGTAAGGCTCCTTCCCCCGGCAGACCTCCCAGTATAGTAAACAGAAAGAACTTACTATGATATGATGTACATTGTACAGTCAACCCTCGCTTTACTCGGTCCCACTTTACGCGTTTCCACGTTTACGCGGTACCCTGCCGAACACGGAATGCTCACTTTCTGCGGTGTGTGTACCCTTTTACGCGGAGAGCGGCGCGAGCAGGGTGCGCACAAGGTCGCCCAGTCATCAAAACATTACTGAGTTCTTAACCTGCCACCCACCACAGCCGGCCCAAGTCAGTGATAGTGATAATGATAGTGAGGATATGGACTTATATGGACTTTGAGGGGTTTGACAAAGAGGCCCTGCAAGCCTCTGTGGTGGATAGTGATACAAGTGATACACGTGAGGCGCCAATAATCTGCCCTCTGCCTCGGAACCCACCCCCCATCCCCGTGTGCCCAGCCATCTTTTCTACTAATGTAAGTGTTAAAAAACCTAAAAGTATTGATATTTCTCTTAATTATAAATTGTGTGTGCATACCATCATGAAATTAAGAAGTTATTTTTACTACAACGTAGGTATTGTGTCTGAAAAAGTGGAGTTTGGGGGTCGGCCCGGTCTCTATTTCAATTAATCCCATATGTTATGTTGTTCACTTTACGCGTTTCTCACTTTACGCGGGCCGCCGTGGGTTCAATTGACCGCGTAAAGTGAAGGTTCACTGTAATTTCATGTTTTTTGTGAATGTGACAGCAGCTGCCCTTACCAAATGGTTCATAAGCGTATATACTGAGCATCGGTGTCGATTCGGCCCCCAGTGGCAGAGTGTTTTGAAATACGTCGATACGATCGGCTTTTTACATCCTGGGACGAGACGTCACCACTGCATTACCGCTGAGAAGACAAAGTAGTGTGCACA